TCGCTCACTCTATCCATCTCTTATCTCATCGTTGAGAGATCATTCCATTACCTCAACCCACTTCTCAGTTACGCGCGACTCCGAGGCGCAAACAATCCACTGTGGCGTCCGTTCTCACTCAAACGCAGTCGCAGCTGTCTCTTCAACAACACTTAGATATCTCATCGGAGGTACTGGAATACGTGCAAGAGGAACTGGAGGGGGAACCACAACCTTTGATGATGGCGCAGGCAGGAGGGCCTAATCAAAATCCGCCAAATGACAAGAGGAGGGTCAAGGTCTATGAGTTGCGCGATGGCGACTGGTTTGATAGAGGTACTGGCTTTTGCAGAGCCGACTTTATGGTTGTATGTTTATGCTTCCTTTCTCAATCTCCACGCATGCATCCATTGTCTGCGCGCCGCTTGTTCTTGCCCTTATCTTTCTCTCGCATTTCCATCGAGACTTGTTGCCTAATCATCTTGAGTCTACATAGGATAATGGCCCCGAAAAATCAGACCCTAGAGTAATGGTGCAGTCGGAGGATCAACCAGGCCGTATACTCCTAGAGACTAAGATTGTTAAAGGAGATGAATTTCAGAAACAGCAAGGTATTTTGGATCAGCGCATGATTCCCACATTTCATACTAATGCGTGCCATGCAGAAACTCTCATAGTATGGACAGAACCGGATAGTGAGATGGATATGGCTCTCAGCTTTCAAGAAGCAGAGGGCTGCACAGCTGTTTGGTAAGTGGCATGTCGCGATTAACGCGTCACAAGATGGTTGCGCACTCGAACATTTTCTGACTGTTGATTTTCTACAGGCGATTTATCAATAACATACAAACGACTTTGGGTGGACATGGAGGAATTAGTATTGAGGGTAAGTTTAGCAACCTAAAATCTCCAATCATGACATCCTGCTGCCCTCGTGATACTTACATTTCCTACAGAAGATATCATATCTGATGACAACATCCCCGAGCTAAACATTCCAACGTCTCTCCCCAATCCTTCATTGGGTAACCTGCCCGAATTGGAAATGCAATTAAGACAATTGAACAGCACAACATCCGGACGCGAAGCCCTGACGAAATTGGTTATCAACGAAAACTATATCCGAAGACTGATACCACTGGTCGAAATAGCAGAAGATATGGAGGATTTACCAAGTTTACATCGACTTTGCAACATGATGAAGATTATAATATTGCTAAATGACAATGCAATAATTGAGCATATCGTTACAGATGAGGTGGTTATTGGTGTTGTCGGAGCTTTAGAGTACGATTCGGATTTCCCAAGTCACAAGGCCAATCATCGACTTTGGTTAGGCAAAAAGGATAGATATAAAGAAGTTGTTGAGATACCCGATGAAAACATCATGAGGAAGATTCACAATACGAATCGATTACAATATCTCAAGGATGTTGTACTCGCCCGAATCTTGGATGACCCTACTTTCTCGGTTCTGAACGGTCTGATTTTTTTCAATCAAGTTGAGATTGTCCAATATCTACAGAACAATACAGCAGTTCTCAAGGAACTTTTCGGCATTTTTGGAAACCAAGAGACAGATCAAGAGAGGAAGAAAATGGCTGTACTTTTCATACAACAATGCTGCGCTATCGCGAAGAATTTGCAACCACCCGGACGACAAACGCTATACAATAACTTTTTGAGTCATGGCCTTTTATCTGTCATCAACTTTGCTCTCAAACACAATGATGTTGGGGTACGAGTGGGAGCTACAGACGTATTGGTTTCTATGATTGATCATGATCCTCAAATGATTCGTCAGACCATATTTCGACAAATGGCCGAGAAGCAAACTTTGCTCACTGATTCTCTTATCGATCTTCTTCTGGTAGAAGCAGATTTGGGTGTAAAGGCTCAAATAGCAGATGCGATCAAGGTTCTTCTCGACCAAGGTAGTCATGTAGGGCCGTTGGAAGGACTCTCAAAAGCCAATGGTGCTGAATATGCAGCTCGCATTCGAAACCAAACAGATCCTCAACATGAACTTTTCCTCAATCAATTCTATGAGGAATCAGCGAAAAAATTATTTAAACCTCTAGTGGATTTGAAAGGATGTGAGGATATGAACTTTACTGTTCATCAAGTATCTTTGTTTATTTATTTGATAGAGATTCTTTGCTTTTTCATTAGACAACATATGCACCGCAGCAAATATTTTGTGCTATCAGAAGGATTAGCTCAACGGATCTCTCAACTTTTGGGAAGTCCAGAGAAGTACCTAAAATTGAGTAAGTTACTGTATTCTTGATAGCCTTGAACTCTACTAACAAACTTTAGCTGCACTAAAGTTTTTCCGCAATCTGGTTGGTTTACAAGATGAATTTTACAATCAACAGATGATGCAAGATCATCTTTTTGAGCCAGTTTTAGACCTTGTCATTGAAACCATGCCTCGAGATAATCTCTTGAATTCAGCATGTTTGGAGTTCTTTGAATTTATCAAGAATCAAGGTTCTAGTACAAGGGTTTTGGTCAATCATTTGGTGGAAAACTATCGAGAAAAATTCGAGTCAATCACCTATGTTGACACTTTCACAAATTTCATCACAAGGTATGATAATAATCAAGGATTTGCATCGAGTATGGAAACTTCATTCCTCGATACCGAAGATGAAAGTCCGAAGAGACCTGAGACAGGTAGAGGTAGTAGATGGGGTTCAGGTATCAAGGACTTAGATGCGGATGAAGAAGCCTATTTCAATACTTCTGATGACGAAGAGGAAAAATCTCAGGACCAGAGTTTGACAAATGGGGAACCACCTGTTTCGCAACCTTTGGTTGACTATCCATCGGATGAAGAAAATGAAACTTCGGAAAACGATATTTCTGTGGGTATAACGTCTGCTCCATTGAGTCGGAGCCCTTCACCAAAGCCAATAGCTTCCAAAGATTCCAGTGGAGATGAGTTAGTATTAACTCCTACCTCTTCCACACCAACTCCACCAGAAAGGTTATCGGAAAAACGCAGGAGAGAAGAAGATGAAGAAGATGAACTCGGCAAACTTTCTCATCATAAACGAAGAAGTTCTACGAGTTCTACGACATCAACAAATAGCGTGTTAAGAAGGAAACAGAGCTTCAACAAAACACGAGATGGTAATAATGGACCTAAAAAGATTGCCATCAGCTTAACTCCAGCTATCAAAACTGGTGGTGATAGCCCTGGGGGCAGTGCAAGTTGATATCGTGTTACGTTGATTTACAAATCTTTTTAATGGAAGATTAGAATTCGTCGGAGGACATTGGCGCTATTTAATTGCACGAAATGGAGTTTAGGCGAAAGGAAAGGAAGGAAGGGAAGGAAGGGAAGGAAATGGAATGGAATTGTTGCTGATGGATGGATATAAAGGTTCACTCAGTTCAAACCAGTGACAGTGATTGCTTTTATTGGCTTGCTTTTAATTTTGGCGCCAATATTTCAATTTTGCTTGCATCAAGATTCTTGGCTTTGGCTTGATTTTTTCGCTTTGGTTGAAAGGATGGGGAGGGAAACTTTGCGGAATCACTTGATTGTCAATTACTTGTACAGTAGAATTGGGACAGCGATATTTCTGGGAATGAATGGATGGATGGATGGATGGATGGATGAATGGATTGGTGGGATGGGAGGAAATCAAATGATTAGCGAAAGAAAGGAGAGAGGGGAGAGAGGAGGAAGGGAAAGGAAAAGATGAGAACAGATGAGTTGATATCAGATGAATTGATATTATCTTTGTCAAATAGATCTTGACATTGATAACAGCATGAAATGAAGATTTCCAGCGCTTTGATTGATTGATTGATTGTTTGTTTTTGAATGGTTTGATGATGGGAGTAAATATTTCGGAACGAGATGTGATGATACTTGCCTAGTATTGAGTTTAAACAAAAGGTATTAGGAAATCTATCCTCTCCCCTTTCCCTTTCGCACCCCATGCCAGTCAGTATCTCGTACCTAGTACCCTCGATCTTCACATCCATCTCCACATCTCCACATCCTCAAACCTCACCCTCCCTTTTCACAAGCGAAAAATGAATAAGCGGAATCGAATAAGGTTACCGTTTAACAAGTCTTCAATGTTTATCTAACTAGGTAGGTAGGTAGGCAAGGCTACGAATTCTGCGAGGAGGACTATCGAATCCGAGATACTACTGATATTACTAAGGAGGCTGAGGTCCGTACCCTACCTATGTAAGTCACGAACTGCCGCGTCAGCCAATCCCATCCATCGAGTCTGGCATTCATTTCACTGCGTAAGGGGGGGCCTCAGATTAATGGTAGATTGGACGCTTGGACCAAGGTGGGTTGTTGTTGTTGGGCTGTAAAGTTGTAACATGGTACGGTACGGGTACGAGGTGAGGCCGTGGGTTTGGTTTTGGAGAACGTGTTCTTATGGTGAATGTGAATGTGAATGTGAGGATTGTAAGTAGAAGATCGATCTTGACCGGCTCCAATTGATTGATTGATTGATTGATTGATTGATTTAATTTTTTTGTTGGGGTTCACTTATTTATTCATTTTTATTTATTTATTTATTTATTTACTTGGGTACTTTACTTAATTTTGTGTGTGTGTGTGGATAGTTTCTTGTGAATACGTACAGGCGGGCATAGGTGCAGAGGTATACACATACATAAGTTCCTTTCTGCTGAACGAGACGAGACGAGGGAGTGGGAGTTTTGTGGATTGGAGGAACGGGAAGAAGCAGAAGAATTGGAGGAGAAATTCAATACTTGGAAGGATTCTGAGCTTGGGGAATTTGTCCATTGTCAATTGTGATTGCGCTTGCGATTGCGATTGCAGGTTTGAGGAATCTGGGTTTCGTTCGCGCAAGAAACGGAACGAACGAACGAACGGCTTTGCGATTCGATTCGATTCAAATTGATAAATCCTCTCTGCGGGATTCCCAGCGCATTTCACGGATTCGATTTAAAAAGGAAAGGAAGGAAAAGAAAGGGAGACGAGGAATCTTGCAACTCTACTCTACTTAAACTTCGATATGGAGGGGTTACTGGAATTTCCCTTGCAGATATTGGGGGGATTGTGGGAGATGGTGAGGGATACGCCGACGCATGTATTGGGGTTGGTATTCATTGGGCTGTTCGGTTTAGGATTGGGTTGTGTGAGTTGATTTTCTTTCTTGGTTTGGAGGGAGGGGGAGTTGTTGCGGGGATGATGATAATTGAAAGAGATGGATTCATCCTCTGCGATGGATAGGAATTGGAATTTCATACTTCCAGAGTTTGTCAACCATGCTAATACTCTCCTCACCAGATATACATCCTCCTCCTCCTCGTCGCGCCCGTCCCCCGACCACCCTACCCATCCGAAAAAACCTACACAACCACCACTCCCACCGGCACCACCGAAACCAAGCCCCTAACCTGCTGGTACGATTCCTGGGTTGCGCATCGCGAAGCCTCTGTTTCAAAAACTGGTTCACCCTCGCAAAATCCCATTCGCACCGGAGCCATCGAACCCGCAACTCTCGAGATGAGTCTCGTGGTACCGGCATACAATGAAGAAGAACGTCTAACGGGTATGTTGGAAGAAGCGCTTTCGTTTCTCGATACCACATATGGACGCATATCGAAAGGGAAAGGGACCGGAACGGGCTATGAGATATTATTGGTGAATGATGGGAGTAAGGATCGCACGGTGGAGATCGCGTTGGAGTTTTCGAGGAAGAATGGGTTGCATGATGTTTTGAGGATTGTGACGTTGGAAGAGAATCGGGGGAAGGGGGGCGCGGTGACCCATGGGATGAGACATGTGAGGGGAGAGTATGCGGTGTTTGCGGATGCGGATGGGGCGAGTCGGTTTAAGGATTTGGGGAAGTTGGTGGAGGGGGTCAAGGAGGTGGTGGATGAGGAGGGGAGAGGAGTGGCGGTGGGGAGTAGAGCTTGGTTGGTGGGGAGTGAGGCGGTTGTCAAGGTATGTTTTTCTTTCTTTGATTTCCTCGTGTTTTCTTTTCGCATCACATTCCAATGGACGGAGATTGCTAGTGTAACGGAGAAAAACATTTTATGTTTTCTTTTGTCTCTTCATCATACTACATTTACTACCTCTACTTCCACAGACCCTTTCCTTATTCTCTCCTCTCCAATCCACAACCCTCCCCCCAAAACCCAAAAACTAACATTCCTCCCCCCTAGCGCTCCGCCCTCCGCAACACCCTAATGCACTCCTTCCACCTCCTCCTCCGTCTCCTCACTCCCCCCGCCACCTCCCGTATCCGCGATACCCAATGCGGATTCAAACTTTTTACTCGCGCTGCCCTTCCCCATATTATTCCATATATGCATGCCGAAGGCTGGATTTTCGATGTCGAAATGCTTATGTTGGCTGAGAGTGCGCCGGGGGTAGAGGACGAGGGGGGGCTAGGGAATGAAAAGGGAGGGAAGGGAAAAGGAAAAGGAATCAAAGTTTCGGAACAACCGATTGCATGGCAGGAGGTTGGAGGTAGTAAATTAAATGTTATGTGGGATAGTTTGGGGATGGCGTGGGGATTGGCGGTTTTGAGGGGGGGGTGGGGGATGGGGGTTTGGAGGAGGAGGTAGGATTTTGATTGGGGTTTGGGATGATTAGAGGACCCTTGAAATCTGAGTTGAGACTTGGCTTGAGATTGGCGTGGATGGGTAGATGAGTGCATGGGTGAATGGGCAAAGTAGTTGGTTGATAGGTAGATAAATGGTTGGTCGGCTGGCTGGCTGGCTGGTTGATAAATAAATGGGTTGATAAATGGCTGGTAGCTGGTTGATTGATAGATAAACCAATGGGTGTATACATGCACGTATGCATGTATGAATAAATAGACAGGCAAGGTGGGAATCATATGGGTATCTGTATATCTGTATCTGTATCTGTATCTGTATCTGTATCTGTATATAAGATAGGAGTTATCATACTATACTACATATAACACCATATCACGGACAGGACAACCCCAACCCAAACCCGATGTAGAAATTCAAGTTTAAAGACGAAGTTGAAGTTGAAGTTTAAAGATGAAAAATAAATGATAAATGATAAATGATAGTTAGAAAAGAGAGGGAAAAAGTGAAGAGAAAATGATAGTTGGAAAGGAGGAGTGGAGGGCGGAGTGAAGCGAAGAGAAAGAGGTTTTTACTTTCTTCTCGAAAGTAGAAGTAGAAGCTGAAGTAGAAGCTGAGAAATTATATATATGTTTATTTATATGTTTATTTATATGTTTATTTATTTATTTATCTCTCTATATATTTATATCTCTATATATTTATCTATATGTTTATCTATTTATCTATTTATATATATATTTATCTAATATGGTTTATCAATAAGCGGATCATATTAGTAAACAAGTTATTTTTACTTCAATTTACTTTCTTCTTTTTCAATACATATTTTATTAACAATTTATAATGAATTTGAATAATAAAAAAGCTTGTATACTTTTTGTTATTAAAGTTATTTAAAAAAATAAAAAAACAAGTATTTAAAAGGTTGTAAAAATGTATAATATTTTGAATATAATATTATAATAAAGAATAAAAGATTTTACTTTTTGTTTTAAATATTGATTTAAATTTTATAATCTTTTAGAATTAGAAAAGGATATTATTATTGAATATATATTTGATATAGATTCAAAAGATTTTTTATTTAAATTTAAAAATGTGAAAAATATAATGAATTATATTCTTGAATTAAGGAATATAAAGAATATTGAAAAGCTTTGAGTGTATTAATTTATAAAGTATTGAATTAAATTAAAGATATATTTTAGTTATATTTATAACTTTCAAAAAGCTTTTTATAAAGATTTTAAACTTATTAAAAAGTGATTTCGATTAATTGTAAATATATAAATGAAATATAATATTTTAAATAAAGATTTCTATAATTTTAACGAAACAGATTTTATAATAGGGATTATATATATAATAATTATTATTATTAATACTAAAAGATATAATAGAAGTAAATTAGTATAATCAAATAATTAAAAATAAGCTATAGTAATAATATATGAAAATGAAAAGAATGAAACTATTTCCTTATTTCTAATAGTTTAAGAATAGGTTTATTTTTTCAATTAATATATCGAAATTAATCTTTCTATAAAATAAGCTATTAAGTCTATATTTAATAAACAAATAAATAATAAGATAGGTTTAAAATAATTGAAATATTTCAATAAGTATATTAAGGATTGAAAAGAGAGCAAATATTGAATATTGATATTAGATAAATATAAAAACTATAAATTAATAGCTTTTCAAGTATATTATAAAAAGAATGATATTATATATTTAAAATTATTATTATATTTGAATCATTTAATTTAATTATTTGATATTAATTATTTTAATGATTTGAAATGTTTATATAGTATTTAAATTAATGAATTTATTAAGGTATATATTAATTATATTTTAAAGATTGAATTTCTTTATAACTTTTAAAATTGTATATTAAAAATCAATTACTTTTTAAAATATAAAATCAAGATTTCAAAGAACAAACTTAATATTATTTAATTTTAAAGTTATATTCTCGAAATTAAATATTCGAATTTATATATCTATTTTCCCTTTCCCCTTTTTCAATTTAAATTAATAAATCTTTTAAATGCCTTATAATTCAATAAAAGCTCTTTTTCAATTAATATCAATTAAATCTCAAATAACTTATTATTAAGTAAGCTCCTTTATATTTATATTCAAGATTATATTAATTTTAATTAAAAATATAAAGAGATTAGCTTATACAAATACATTTTTAAATATAAAGATTTATATACTTTAAAAGATAAATAAAATATTAAATATTGATATATAAAAAAAACTTAATTATATTAAAAAGGAATACTTATTAAATAAAAGGCTTTTAATATATTATCTCAATAAAAAATTAATATTCAGATTCAATATAATAAATATTAAAGAAAAGGAATTCTAATAAAAAACATTTTTTAATAAATATTATAATAAATATGAAAAGATAGAATATAATATAAGAACTTGTTAGAATAGTATAATAAACCCTAAATTATTAGATTCTTCATAGTTTTATTAATTAATTCGATTGTTATTGAATAATATAGTTTTGAAAGTATAAATTGAGGTGAAAGTGATTTGTTTACTCATATGACTCATTTACTAATAAACCATGTTATATGTTTATTAATTTTTTTCTCTTCTATTCATTTATATAAATATTATATTTATTTCTTTATTTATCTATCTACTTATTTATTTATTTATTTCTCTCTATATATATATATACTTAGGTGTATAGTATATATATATGCTTAGATATATAGTATATATATATTTAAAAATATAATACATATACTCATACTTCTATTATTTATTAAATATATACTATATATTTATACTCATATTAATATTTATATTTTTACTATACTTATACTTATAATCATACTTATATTTAGATATATTATATATTTATACTATACTATACTATACTTATATTATATATACTTATACTTAATATAATAATTAAAGATATATAGTGTTCACAATAAAGGAGCAGGCCAGTGGAATGCATGTATTATTGACTATGTAGATTAATTGTACTAAGGTAAAATCTAACTACGAAGTGGAAGTGATATATGCACAGTAGCTTAGAGCACGTGCCACAACTTCCAACACTCCCCCAGAGAGCTTACTCTCTCAGCTTCAGTAGTTAGTTTCTTTAAAATTCCTTTTATACGCCCAATAACTGATTGCTTCGAAATTCGTTATTCCTTGATCGTAGGGTTACTGTTTTAATATGGTAGACCATCAAAATCCGATCGTATGCGAACAGACCTTAAGCTTATCTGTTATTCCACGTGATTTTCTTGAAATCATTAATTTTTTTTTTTTTTTTTTTTTTTTTTTTTTTTTTTTTTTTTTTTGATAAATTCGACGTAAGATGAATCCAATGAATCTGATGAAATAGGTGAAATGGGTGGATTCAGTGATTTTGGTCGATTTGGTCAATTTGGTCGATTTAGTCGATTTTGGAGCACATACCACAACTTCCAATACTCTCCCAAAGAGCTTACTCTCTTTGAAACCCCAGCATGTTCTTGAATCTCTCAAATATCACCCTTGCGCATGGTTTTGTTAATCCATCTGCAGCCATATCACTTGTATTGACATAGCTGGTATTGACTAGATGTTTTTCTGTGAGATCTCGAATGAAGTGGTGACATATGTCAATATGCTTTGATCGCTCGTGTAGATGTGGGTTCTTGGTTAACGCTAGCGCTCCTTGGTTGTCTCCGAGCATTTGAACTCCGCTGTTGCTCCCGATATACTGTGGTCGCTCTAAGTCCCTCAAGAGTTGGGCTACCCATTGCCCTTGTTTGGTGAACATCGCCATGGAAATGTACTCAGCTTCTGTACTAGATGTAGCTACAGATGTCTGCTTCTTGCTTGCCCATGAGATTGGTCCACCATAGAACATTACTACCCCACCAGAGATGCTTTTTCGATCGGTTCTATCGCTTGCCCAGTCTGCGTCGGTGTATACTTTGATGGTGCGTTGTAGGAGGTCATATTCTTTGCAAATATCTGATTGAACTCCCCCAGGCCCAAAACGTAGTTTCTGTTTAATAGTTGACCTCAAATATCTCATAAGGTTTTTGAGTGCAACGCTGTGATGTTTGGCAGGGTTAGACATAGCTTGTGCTAATCTCCCGAGACCGAATGCGATGTCCGGTCTAGTGTAAACCATAGGGTGGATCGTACTGCCGATTGCTTGCTGGTATTCGTTTACATCAGTGAGCTCGTCGTCTGGGAGCGTTGGTCGTAGTTGGTTGTAATCCGAGATTGGTATCTTCCTTGGAGTGTGTTGACCATGGGAGATCCCGAATCGGGTAAGCATTGCATCCAGATACTCTTCTTGATCCATAGTTAACACTCTCTCTGATCTGTTACGAATGATGCGCACTCCTAAGATCTTACTAATCTCCCCCAGGTCTTTGGTGTTGAATCGAGCAGAAAGGTTGTGATAAAACCATTGAATATCTCGTTTTTGTGCAGCAGCAGTAACAATATCATCTACATACACTAGGAGAATTAGCTGGCGCGGGTGATTGGTGTATAAACACGGATCCGCAAGGCTTTGTACGAAACCCATCTTGGTTAACTCTCCTTTCAGAAGAAGGCTCCAATCTCTACCAGCTTGCTTTAGCCCATAAAGACTCCGAAGTGCATGTAGAACGCGGCCGCGACGAACATGAACACCTTGAGGGGGTGCTAAATAGATTTCTTCTTTCAAGTGTGATTCGGTGAACGCATTTTTGATATCGAAATGGGAACACTCGAGGTCCTCTCTTGCAACAATTGCAAGGAAAAGGCGAAGAGTATCGAGTCGAACAGTGGGGGCGAAGGTTTCGTTGTAATCTTTACCTAAAACTTGGCTGAACCCTCTAGCCACTAATCTGGCCTTGAATCGCTCTACCTTATTATCCTTCGTCTTAACAACAAATACCCATTTCGTTGAAACTAGATTGCTCCCTTGTGGTAAAATGAACTCTTCCCAAGTGCCATTCTTGACCAATGAG